TTATCTTTTTCACCTTAGAGTGCTGACAAGTTTATTTTTCAACAGTAACATATCCCACTCATCTCGATTATCATACTTAAAATATGTGACTTTTCTGCTCTAAAAACAACTAGACCAATGTAATATATTTTGTTGAGTTTTTGACTTATATTATGCCAAATGTTTCCAACAATGTTCAAACGCAGAGAAATCTGTAATTTTAATTAAGGACACAGTCCATTTCATGTGGTCACTGTTGCCTGTCAGTGGCCTCATATCCCCTTTGCACTTGCATAAGAGTTGTAGATGTCTGCAAGAAACTGTTATAAATTACTTTTTTATCCAGTTTTAAGCCGCATTTCTTATACACTCCTAGATCCTGGTATTAGCTATATACACAGTATATACTTAAGCACCTTTCCCACTGCACAGAAATGCACTAATACCTAAATCTGGCTTTTGTATGTAATGGGACAGGTTCAAATTGGCATTCAGACCCAGGTCAAATCACTCTGCAGTAGTCACACGAATTTATCAGCTCCGACTCCAGTCGGCAGGGATGAAAATACATCATCCAGGTGAATGCGTTTATTTTAGCCCCTTTACCGGCAAGATGCAATAACATGCCACCACAAAATACTGTCCGTCTCCACCCAAGCAGGGCTCAAACATTGTTCCAAATTAGTCGGCACCAAGTTTGTAAGAGATAGAAAAAGAAAGAGATAAATGAAAAGAAGTAACCACCGTCGCATGATCACCAACCTCTATGCTGCTTTATACCGTTTACTAACCGGTTGTCTGGCCTGTCTGTGACGTCAAATCTAACACACCAGTATAAATAAACAAAAAGGTGATGCTTGTCTGCAGCATTGCCATGTATTTTGTTATTGTTTCTATTGAGAAAGCCCTAGCATCAGAAAAGTACACACTGTATGTTTCAGAACAAATTTAAAGGATCCCTAACAATATTATTCATTTATTAATTATGTTAATGTTAAAAAACAAAAATCAGCTGGCTGTTATTGGACTCTAAATGATTGGTATCAGCCTCAAAGATCCAGTACTGGTCAGGCCGTTATTTTGAAAGTATGTTAATCGTTAATGACAGTAATGGTAAAGTAATATTATATGTAATTTGCAGGTTGATAAAAAGTTCACTGCTGTGTAAAATGGTTTGAGTTCAAGTGTAATATCAGGTTTTGAATATCTGAACATATCCCTGCTGCAGGTGTGACCTGTGTGGGCGCTCCTACCGCCATGCTGGCTCTCTCCTCAACCATAAAAAGACACACTCCGAAAACCTCCACCACTGTACCTTGTGTCTGCAGACCTTTCCTGATCCTCTCACTCTACAGATCCACACCCAGATGAGGCGTCACTGCTGCCCAGAGTGCGGCAAAACCTTCTGTCTGGTCACACACCTGCAGAGCCACATGGAGGTGCACTCAAAGGACCGTCCTGTGGCGTGCAGCCCCTGCCAGCAGAGCTTTCCTAACACAGCCAGCTACCAGCAGCACCAGGAACTGCACCACGGGGCTCAGGACCCCTATCAACAAGGCGTGGACGAACCTGTTGACAACATCTGCTGGGACTCAGGAATAAATCAGACCATGGGGATGGACGGGATGCAAAAGCAGGTTCCACCACCTTTGTCTCATATTCCAGTAAGCATCGCTAATTCAGAGAAGAGCCACGAGTCCGCTGGTCCAGAGGAGAAGAGCCACGTCTGCGAGCACTGCGGCCGCACTTACCGCCACGCCGGCTCCCTCCTCAACCATAAGAACAGCCACAAGACGGGCTCCTTCTTCTGTTCTATCTGCCAGAAGGAGTTCACCAACCTCATGGCTCTCAAGAACCACCGGCGCATTCACACGGAGCCGAAGCGCTATCAGTGTCTGGATTGTGGGAAGGCGTTCCGTGTGTCCACTCAGCTCATATGTCACCGACGAATCCACACCAAAGAGAAGCCCTTCGCCTGCCTGCTGTGCGACAAGAGCTTTTCCAGCAAGTCCAACCTGCGGCATCATCAGAAGATGCACCAGAACGCCCAGACCTATGACTCCTCTTTTAGCATGGATGCTAACACATTTATGGACTTGGACATGGGGTCTTTCCTTTGAATTCCAGAGTGTAGAGAGAAGAGGACAAGTAGTCCTCTTATTTATCGGTGTTTCATCTCTCTATCAATAATTGTAAAACAGTATTTTTTTCAGAAAGTGCTCCTTGGTCCTGACAGAAGCTTTTGAAGACATAAATGCACATTTCATTATTGACTTCCAGTCTTACCTCCACAACAGATGGTGACATCACTCAGAAGTCTCCAGAGGGTTTGTCGGTCAGCTTTTAATAAGGCCTGAATGTTTTCCAAGAACACACAGGATCCCAGAGTAAAGGGCGCCCTGGCTGATGAAAATATCAGTCGCCGCTCGTTCCTCAATGACAAACCAACCAACCAAAGTGAACAGAAAAGTGCAGCCCAGGTCCATGTACGAACATTAACACTGATGACATGTTTTTGTAAGACAGTACTGTTCTAACGGTGATCTCTCCTCTCTTGCTACGTATAATTGTGTTCAGTGCCTCTGTAAGTTCCTTAGGAAACAAAATATACAAACTATATTTATCTCTGAATCCTTTTTGTTAGCTTTGCCGTCAGTGTCGAAGGACTGCTCACTTTCCTTTTGGATCTCACATAGGGCAAGCCTGTTGTTATAAAGTCAAATACCTCTGGGTGTGTCCAAAGGTCAGTGGCAAAGTGATTTACTGAAATCATATTATCAAGTAAATAGTCGTACTGCTAATAATATTCACGTTGAGTGACATTGTATGCTAAAAATGGATGTATTTATTAATTTATTCCTGTTATTTTCTGTGCATATTTTATTAGAAAAGCTTTCTATGAATGTTGTAAAAAGAAAAAAAACCTGTCTTCTAAAACTCATGTAGCCTTTAAGGGACGTCATCAGTCGATTTGTATTTCCTCATTAGTTCTCAGTTACAACGGGCAGGAATGAATGAGCCAAGCATCATTGGCAGCACTCAGGGGAAACCTTCAAAAGGAACATACCTGATGTGTAAAACATTGTAGATAATCAGTTTACGAACTGAGCATTTTTTCTTTTCACCTGTGCTATTTTTCAACACGTATGATTTAGCTCATGTAACGGTAACCGAAGTCACTCCAGCAGTTAGTCGCAGCTCCATGCGCAGTGCATGCTGTTGAAATACGGTCTATCTTTGAGAAGCATCAGTTGAAGTGCCAGTGCCTAAAATGTAAGTCAATTGTAGCAGTTTAATGTGAACAAACCTCCTCTTGCTGTACTTGTTATATACTGTAAACCACATGTTATATTGTCCGTTACATAATTAGATTTTTTTTTTGTGAATCTCCTCAGCCACAAACAGTTAAACGTCTTAAAGCAGTTGATAACAAAAGTGTTGCGACAGTGAAGTGAGAGTGGTTCCTTTTTGTCTCCATGATCCCCCCCCCCCCCCACCCCTCACAAGTACTTTCTATAAATCAAATGTATTTTCAGATAAACAAATATGGGGCCAAAACGCCGCATTTCTGCCAAGCACAAGTATTACTACAAACATACCAGGGCTTTATGGATTTACAAAGAACCTCTTTCATCTTCACTGTTGAGTTCATGAACCACTTTATGTTCTGTGAAAAATGTGCAATTATTGATTCTGTTTTTGTTTTGTTTTTTTTTGTCTTCGTTTTTTGCCAAGTTGTCTAATGTGCCTGTTGTTCCTTGTGTGGTTTCTTTTCACAGATCATGCAAAAGTGAACACATGGCCTTTGCTTTTTATAACAGTCTGTAATTAGATTTTCTTTATGCCTTATACATTACATTTCACATGTATGAGTATGTTTGGCACTGGTCAGAAGTATGAAATACCTCATGGAAAGCCCTGCCTACCTAGCAACCGCTACTTAATGCCTCATGCAGCTTAATTGTAGAGAATACACTGTAATCATAGAGATAGTTATCAGCAGTAAGACAACTAGAACAGATGAAGCATCAATTCTAAGGTTTACTTTGTAGTTTGCAGAAGCAGTTTTCTCCATAAAATGGTCGTTTCTCTGCAGTTTGTTGTTTTCAGAGTTATATTTGCACATTTGTAGAGACACTTGTAGCCCAAGGAGGATAGGAAGTCTATAATAACGCAGCCGTTCTGTTGTCGACAGGCAACAGATAAGCTGTTTGATAGTTCACCTCAGTTAGTGTGCGGGTCGTAATATTTAAGCAATATGCTGAAAGTATTGTTTCAGTGCATGAACCGAGTACATCTCATATGTCTTATTGTGTCGAGTGCAGTGGCGTCAGATTCAGTATACTGACACTAGCCTTGAAAAACCAAGACACCTTGCCATCTTCTTGTGTTATTTAAAATCGTACATGTATTAATTGTAATGGTTTAGATCATACTGTAACATATTTTCATATGCCATGGTAGCCTACATGTGAAACAACACATGCACATTTAAAAGTTTTTTTTTTTTTTTTTTTTTTAAACAATGTTCTCCATCTAATCTCCCTGTGGCACTGAACACATTCACTCCTCTGTCAGCGGTCACAATCACAGCCTGGTGTTTGTGGCGTGCATTAATCTCAGAGCTCTCTCTCTGTAAATATTTGAAGGAAAAATATCGGTCGGATCTATGTACATTCAGATTTTCCTCAGCAGGAGAAAACTGCTAGATTAGCTATTGTGTAATTTAAAAAAAAAGGCATATACCACATGTTCTGATTTATTGGATTTTCAGTGCTCAAAAATGTCTGCTCACTATTTAATTCATATTTATATAACTATTTTGTCACTCTGAAACGTAGATTTTTACTTCTTTGTTAGAACTTAGTTTAGAATATAAGCAAATTATTGAAAATAAAACTAGTTGAAATTAATTAAAAGACTTGGAAAATAGAGTGTGTTTGTTTCTTGTCCATTTTTTCCCCCAAATGTGACGTTGCGCAGTTGTGTTGAGATGCGTTTCCATACCAACAAAACTTGCATTATTATTGGAAATTGTCAGTTTTATTGTGAAAATACATTTGATACACAAAGCACTTTATAAGATTGCATTAAAGTAAAAGAAGCCAGTGCATGTACAGTATATACAAGAAGAAAAAGAAAGCAAGAGAAACAAGCAGAAAATGTTAGTTATTGCTCAGTATTATCGTCAGCTGGCCTGGTGGAAGTTCAACAAAAATCTTCACTGGAGTCCCTTTAAAAATGTGCTTGTCACTTGCAGTATATGCAAAATAACACTGCGAGATACTTAAAAATAAATAATATAAACATCTTAAAAAAAAAAAAAAAAAAGGAAGTATTGTATTTTAAGTGAGTCCGTAATTTTGCTGCCAGAGGGCAAGCAGTTTACCCACAAGCAGACAGATCCACCATACGACCTGAATCATTGTCAGTCACTTAAAATACATCAGTAACCGCGTACTGGTGATGTTTTGAAGCTAGAAAACATCCTCAACTATAAAAAGAAGTGGAAAACAACCACCCTGCCCGCCATGGTTCTTGCTGGTTTCATTGGCTACAAAATAACAAACATGTCGACATGTATCCTCAGATCTGAAACGATTGGACAGGTTTAGTAAGCATAGTGATTGTGTAGCTGCACCTAAATCACTGTAGGTGTCATTCCCTTCACTACAGTACATTCCTTACAACATTCCCACATGTTAGCAGTTTGGGGATTGTGAGTCTAGTGTTTCAAACATCCTGTCTTACAAGTGGCGGGACGGTATCGTGGGAATTCTGGGGAAATACTAAGCCTCAAACCTACTGACATTAAAACAGACAAGACAATATTGTGATCATCTGCAATAAAGGTTCTGTGTTGGTCTCAGGAGAACCGGTAACAGTGAACGAGTACAGTTAATAACAGCTTTCTCACTGGCAGGGACGAAGTCTGGAATACATTTCACCTACTGTAAAGAGTAGCTACATTCAAATGGCCTTAATGTGCCTGACAGTACGTCTAACTCACATGTGACTTATCTTTAAAGGGGAACTGCGCCTATTTTAAAAATTCCCACGTTATTCCTATCATCTAAGACAGTCAACAGATTTTACTGAACATGAACAACTCTCTCAAATCCAAAAACTACAATGCTAAAACTCACATTTGTGATGTCATCAAGATTAAAGTCTTGAGCTGCTCCACTGACAATGAATTGGAAATATGTTATAGATGAAACAGAGCACCCAGGGGAGTTTTCTGAGTATATGGGTACATTTTCTGTTTCAGTACTGAGAACATTACAACACAGTGAAGCTCATTTGGGTGAAATAAAAAGGAAAACAAACATTCTGTGGCTCCACAAAATCAGGCTCCCATCCATTGTCTACAAAGCAGCTCTAGACTTTATAGAGGGCTCCTGCAGATCCTTACAAAGTCTTAAAGGCACTGATTCATTAATGTAAAAATAAGGGTTTAATTTGTATCATAATGTCTTATATAAATCTTTCAAAAGTCTTAAAAATGCTGAGAGTAAGTAAGTAAAAAAAAAAAAATCTAATGCTTCTTGCATTAACGTGACACAGATCAGGATAGTTGACCAACACATATGATGTTTCCAGCCGGGATGCTCAGAGCAGTACATCCACCTTCTCCTAGCTAGCTGTCACTGTACGCTGGACGACATAGGAAAGTACAAAACTTAAAAAGAAACCAGAATTTCCTGGCGTGACTGAAATCGGTACAAGGCAATGCATACTAGGCTTGGTGTATTTTTATGCAATACGTTTTTCAAACTGAGCATGATGGGAATAAAGGCAGTGGAATCACACCTGTGAAATGAGAACAACAAAATTGCCAACATATTGGCACTGGTATTTCACAGTTCTGTTCTACCCTCCTTTCTGCAACAAGACAAAAAAAATAAAGTCATGCTTAATGTAACAATAAAAATTTGGCTAAACTGTCCCTAACCTTGAGTACCTGATTTTGGTTTGTATTTTTTCCCCTTGGATTCTGGAGTCTTAAATCCAACTCGCCTTAAACTGTAGAAACCCTGTAATACTTGAAGACATCACAAGTTTGACACTCACTTCCCTGGTTTCTGGCTTTGAGCAACAGCAGTTCATGTTCACGAATACTGATTGACCTTTCCTAGGTCATGGAAATAACATATTGGAATTCTTAATTTAGGTGGTGTTCCCCTTTAAGAAGCTGTTGTGGTAAATGACCAGCAGATAGACTCCGTCTAACCCCGCTGAATAGCAGGAGATCAAACTACAGCCTAGCAGGCACATTTTGTTTCTCACCCATGTTTCGCCCTACTGTGCTGTGATTGGCTTGTACTTGTCACGTCAATATGTCGAGGTCAGAGGCGGTTAGGGTTAGGACAGAGGTCATAGGGTTAATACTTGGCAATCACAGCACAGTGGGGCGGGACTAGCCGGGGAAAACAACATGCAGCAGGCAGCAGTGGCTGTGTTACATTCATCGGAGTCCTTCTGGAAAATAAAATACAGGATTTGGAAGGCGTCCATCTCTCTGAGGAAAGGACTGTAGTTTGGATTTTTTTTCTGAATCAAACATCTGCAAACCCACAAAGGTCTTCCAGACCAAAATCTTATTTAAGTGGACTATAAAGGCACACAATATCTGAGAATGATACCACTAATATAATGTTGTTACTATTCCTACAGAGGTGTGAGAGCTGCTCCTGCGGTCACACTGTTGGTCCCACACTGAGCACAGCACTTCACTCGACAGTCTAATAAATTAATAATGGTCCAATTCCGGTGAAGAGATACCCTGCAGTCAGAGTATACAGTTCATGGTCCAGAGGTTCCTCCGTCCGGCTCTGAACCGGTCGCTCTGTGGTTCTGTCACATCTGTTTCCAGAGGAAGATGAGGCTGTGGAGGCCATGACAACAGTCACGTTATGTCGAGTTATGAGAGATTTAAATCAGATTCACATTTACAGCACACAGCATGCTTTGATTAGGGTCTGAACAATATGGAGTTTTCAAAGCTTGAACTGGTGTTGATGTTTCTGGATTGGACCTGTTGGTATTTAGTGGTTTAAAATCTGACTGATCTGATCTGGCACAGATCAGTTGTGAAAGACCCCAAAAGTCAAAGCACATTGTTGATTGCTTCTACTCACTTTATTTATCAGATATCAGTTCTAAAAATTCATGTTTTCATTCTTAAAATCCTCATGTTTTTGGTTCTTACACTGAGTTTTTGATTCAATGCACCTGTCTACAATACTTTCTGAAATCATTGTATTAAAATATGTATTTTTCAAAACTACATGGATTCAGTTTTTACCTTGAAAATGTATTTTTTTGTATTTATTTGTCTGAAATATTGTTTGTCTACATTATAGTTGATGCAGTTCGTATATACTGTTGGTTAGCAGGTGTCATGGCTGATTTAAATCATATCTACTCTTCTCTTCCACCAGGAGTATCAAATTCAAATTCATATATCGGTCAAACTCTTGTTATGACAAAGTCAGAAATATACTTACTGTATTGTTTAAGCTTGATAAAGTGGCCCCGCAGTTTCTTCAATGGGTTCTGTAATAAATCAAGACAGAAATCAGCATTTTAAACATTGCATATCTACGTTATCTGCAATGGGCCTTTGACATCGCAGGAAAAGCACAGGTGTTACTAATTACATTAACAACAATGGCTCTGTTGTGTTCAAGTGCCCCAGTAAGTAAGTGTGACAGGGAAGCAGCAGGCACAATACCAGGACCCTGAAGGAAACCGAAGCAGCTTAATGAAATTAATTTAATTTTCTGTGCTGTTCCTACTGTGCCTCTGTGAAAAGGCCTATTGTCTCTGGATATAAGAGGAGACAATAATAGTTTCTGATGGCTTGTGACACAGCTGCAAAGCCTACATACCAAAAAAGGGAACTGCTCACAGCATGCTAATGTTTACCAAGAATCTCTTTGCACCAGGGACATGTCATGATATTAAAGTATTACTCAACCACACAGTAATCTTTGTCATCAATAACTCATCTCTGCTAGCTTTGAATGTCACACAAAGGTTTTAAGTCTATGCCTTCAGAGAGAGAAAACTGTAGTTTACAAATGTTGTTGCCACTTGTGATACGATCTTTTAGCCAGAAGCAAAAGCAAATCAAAAGCCCATTAAAATCAGGCATTGAGGAAAGCCTTTCTTTCCTGAGATAACAGTGTGAGAAATAAATACATAAATTCCATTTTTGCGTGACAGATTTGATTTAGGCGTGTAAAGTGTATTTTTACACAAAGATTATATCTGATGCACTTGTAAAGGTAATAAAAGCTTTATCTATAATTAATCAGATTTTACGTTTAAACAATCTCACCACGTAGGGGCCGTTTGTGCGACTTGCGTCGATGCACCATGACTCCGATAATCAGCGCAGCACCAACCAACACAACAGCCAGCACTGAGAAGCTTGTGATGGCCGCCAGTTTCCACACGTCAGGTGTCTCATCCACAGATTTACCTATTGGTTGAACAAAGAGAACTTAAACTGTAAACACTGAGAGAAAAGAAACCACTGTATGAATCAGTCTTACATGTACTGATGCACTGTCTTACATGTGTTGCATGATGGGGTCTTTGGGTACAGCTTGCACGATGAACACGGCACACAAACGTCCAAATCTGAGTTCCAAAACTCTAAACTGTTACACTGACCTGCACACAGAAAAACATCAGAGGTCATCTGTTAGTAAGGTTTCAGGGCAAAACATTTTTCATGACTCGTAAAAATTATAACAGTGCTTAAGCTGCTGATATATTATGATGTGGAGCAGGGGTGTAATAACTTATTTAACCTTTAGGGGAATCATTTTAATGTACACTTCCTGCGACCCACCTGTCTAGGAGGGTCTGCAGGGGAAACACCCCCAGGAGAGAGTTCTAGAAACGTAACAGCTGATCATATTTCAAAGCATTTCTAAACAAGTACTTTTGTGCCGTACTGTACTATGCCTTTTTTCTTTTCATGGCATATTGTAGTATGGCTTTTTATGATATTTTTGATGACATGAAGCTCAGTGTAAGTTCAATTAGGAAGACTTTCTCTGTGCTCATCCTTTCACATTTCTCTCCATCCCACTCCCACTTCTCCCTCTAATCAAGTGACTATGGGTGTTCACTCCTCTAGTTATCCAATCAAACTTTGCCAAGATCTCTCTGAGCCAATCAAGGTGCCACTGCAAGACTTGAAATCTGCTCTCTTTTCTGCTGCTGTCAGGCATCATTTTAGGAAGAATCTTCGCGTCTTCACCTCCACCCAGTTCACCTCCAGCCATCGTATCCAGAGTCCATGACAAGCTCAACAATCCTCATTCCTCTACTCATAAAGATCATCGGCCCTTCTCCATCTTCCTCTCATCTCACCTAGACCCCGGGGGAGTTCCTTATTTGACCATGGATTCATCACACTCCTTAAATCATGCCATCTCTACGGGGTCTAATCACAGAAGCCTTTCCACATTTTTATTCCAATGTTCACATGTTAATAAATATTGTTTTACCATAGAAATGAGTCTCTCCTGATTGAAATGCTACACTGTGACTTTTTTTTATGACATTTTGGACGACATACTATACTATGACTTTTTTATGTTTTTGATGACATATTATACTTTGACTTTTTTTATGATATTTTGGACGACATACTATACTATGACTTTTTTATGATATTTTGGACAAAATACTATACTTTTGACTTTTTTTATGATATTTTGGATGAAATACTATACTATGACTTTTTTATGATATTTTGGACAACATACTATACTCAGACTTTTTTATGACATTTTGGACGACATACTATACTTTTGACTTTTTTTATGATATTTTGGATGAAATACTATACTATGACTTTTTTTTATGATATTTTGGATGACATACTATACTAGGACTTCTTTATGACATTTTAGATGACATAATATACTATGACTTTTTTATATTTTTGACGACATACTATACTTTGACTTTTTTTATGATATTTTAGATGACATACTATACTATGACTTTTTAATGACATTTTGGACAACATACTATACTATGACTTTTTTATATTTTTGACGACATACTATACTTTGACTTTTTTTTATGATATTTTAGATAACATACTATACTATGACATTTAATGATATTTTGGACAAAATACTATACTATGACTTTTTTATATTTTTGACGACATACTATACTTTGACTTTTTTATGATATTTTGGACGACAAACTATATTGTGACTTTTTTATGACATTTTAGATGACATACTATACTTTGACTTTTTTTCATGATATTTTTGATGACATATTATACTTTGACTTTTTTTTTAAGATATTTTGGATGACATACTATACTTTGACTTTTTTATGATATTTTTGATGACATACTATACTATGACTTTTTTTAAATCATATTTTGGACGACATACTATAGTATGACTTTTTTTATGAGATTTTGTATGACATACTATACTTTGATTTTTTTATGATATTTTTGATGACATACTATACTTTGACTTTTTTTATAACATTTTGTATGACATATTATACTTTGACTTTTTTATGATATTTTTGATGACATACTATACTATGACTTTTTTTAGGATATTTTGTATTACATACTATACTATGACTTTTTTTAGGATATTTTTGATGACATACGATACTGTGACTTTTTTATAACATTTTGGACGACATACTATACTATGACTTTTGTATGATATTTTGGACAACATACTATACTATGACTTTTTTTTATATTTTTGACGACATACTATACTTGGCAATTTTTATGACAGTTGGCAGCACAGAAAAAGTTTACCCCAAAAACAAAACATATTCTACATTAAACTGGCCTAACAATGGCTACACAGCTGTACAGTACACACAGTTTGGCTTTACAGCAAGCTGCCATTAAAGGGCTGCAGCATAACCTTGAGTGTCAAATTGCATTTAAGGTTATGTAAACAAGATTGTGTATCCAAGTAATGGCATTCAGGATAATATTTTGTATAGTCCTCTCAGTTCTGGAAAACTGTTTTAACTCACTCATAGGTTTTGATAATGAACTGCTAGTGGTAGGTCATGTCACATTATCTTATCACTCCATATTTGTCTCCCCCCACTGAGTCCACAAGAGTCAACATGAGATTATCCAGTAAATGATTGCAGGCTGTTCATATTTGTTCATATATGAACAGCATATGTCACCGTGATTACATGACAAATAGCTGTAGGTGAATGTGGGCTGTTGCTTTCTGAGGCTTTAAGTTGATCCTTTCTCATTTACCCCCATGCCTCCTCTGCTGCCATCTCTCGTCTCCTTTCTCCTTTTCTCTTGTCTAACCACAACAAAGTTCCCCCCCCCCATAGTGTAGTGTGCTTACACCCAAGAGGTAATGTTTAGAGACACCATTTGAGATGTTCTAGAAACAAACCAGAATTCCTTAACTCTGGGAAAAAAACATGAAATAATCATAACCAGGTGACTCGCAGGAGAGCCGGAATCAGCTAATACAGAACACGTGAGAAACTTTGTGACTTTCTTCTTCTCATAAACTGAAAGTGGGAAATTCCTATGGGTCAGACTGCTGATGCAACTTAATTGCCTGAGAGAGAATTACTCAGTAACTTCTGCTACATGAACAGGCAGTGCATGAAGAGCAGGATGTGTTTTCACAGAGTGTTTCCGTCGAGTTGTTTTGCACCTGTTTGCGTGTGCGACTTCCAGAGAATAAGCGAACGTGTCTGTGAGAAAGAACTTCTGGTGGTTTAGCTCGGAGAGACAATGTCTACCTCTGTGGACACAATGGAAAGCTTCATCTCTTTTATGGCAGCCAGACAGCTGAACAATTACAAGTGTGCACTTCCCAGATGATAAGGAAGGAATGAGCCTGAAGATGTGACACAGTTAACACTGATTGCAAGCTGAGTGTAGAGACTGTTTCAGTGCTTTTTATGGTCTGTGGTTTTCTCTGCAGGTTCCTGCCTTTGGTTAAGGGCATGTATGCACTTAATAACCCAAGGTCATGCATGAAGTAGTGAGCACTGTGACATTAAGCTTAAAAAAACATCCCTGCAAAACAATATCACAACACAAAGTCAGCCAACATAGATGAAACAATACGAGACATGACAAAGTTTTGATGGACCAACAAGGAAATAGTCTGCAGATATCCGATAGATAAAATGATAATAATCTTCCTTCCTTCTCGGCACCACATGTGTATTTGCATGGACAACTTCTTTTGTATCCATCATTATAACAAGGAACCACCCTGAGCCTAAATTGAGTCATCATCTGTGGTAACTGTCATGTTCAGACTGGCTGCTTTTATCTCCACAGAAACTAATAACAAAACTAACAGAGACAAGTCTGAAGCAAACCAAAAGTACCTGAATGAATGTGTCGGAAACTGTGGCTGCTTCAATGACAACAACACCAGATATTTTAATATTGTGACATCAAGCTGAGGAACTGACAAACCAACTTCTCATAAAAGTGTTACAACACAAAGTCAAGCTGATAACTGAAACTACACTAGAGTGATGGTGTTATAGATAAATGAAACAAGGAAATCTGCAGATACCGGATATGTTATGATGGTCATCATTGTTTGTTCAGTGTGACCAGTTTGAACCTAGTGCTGTATGTCATTTAGAAAAAACATCTACAAATTTCAGTGATTTCTTAAGTGCAGTAAAACTGTTAAGTCTGAACGCTGACACCCAAGTGAGTTTTACAGTATGTTTTCCATTGTTATCTACTGTACATGGACCCTAATGTGCAGGAAGCCTACCTGGATTTCCTTTTTTGTACGTCACTGTGTGCAGCAGTGACATTCAGTGGTGGATTAAGTATTAAAATCTTTTATTTCTGAGCAGGCTGGCAGTACCACTCTGTAACAAATACTCCATTACAAGTAAAGGTACAGAATTAAAAACCTTACTGAAGTAGAGGTACAGAAGTATTGTTAGTAAAATGTACTCTTACTCAGAAAAAATCCACATGTGAATGATATATGATGAGATAAGATTGTTAATACTGATGGTTGTGTTTTGTGTGTTTTCCAACCTCAGGTCGGGCCCCCTCCAAAGTGTGTCAAGATAAATCTGGAGGGTTGTGAAATGACAAACTCATTTTTTAAGACTTTTCTCTAATTTTTGTGAAATATTAGACAGTTTAAGACTTTAATCTGAAAGGGAAATGTTGCCACCTTGTTATGTCCAATCATTGCTGACGGTAAATGTCGTCAATTGAATCAACAAATTCCTCAGAACATGCTATTTTGACCAAGAAAGGTGAGTTCTCCTGTATATGAAACCATGTTCGCAGTGCCTGTGTGAAACAGGATGCATTGAGCGTAAGCTTCTGACTAATGCAACCACCGCCTCGGCCGCTCTCCGCTGAATTTCTTGTGCCTTATAATCTCTCTCCAATAAACAGGCTACAGATAAATATCTGAGTCAGTTGCCTGGGTCCAAACCTTTGAATCTACTCATTCCAACAAGTTTGAGTTGACTGATTCGTCTGGCATCGTGACATGAAACAGCACATTCTTGGTTGAAATAAAAAACTTTTAGCGCCATGGGGGGACTAACAAGTAGCCAATCTGTGCCACAGGCGCGACTAACGCAGTTGTCAAACTGTTGTCAAGCAGTGCTCTGCAACCAATAAGGAGTACTAATAACAATGGTGAGTGTTGTTGAAAAAATAGACGCTACCTAAACCTCTGCGAAACCAGTATGTTGGCATGGCTACACATCAGTGTGAATTTAAAATGATTATACATTGGTCTCTAGTGACTGGTTAGGGAAAATCAGCCCCACTCCCCCATGAAAATCGGTTAAATGTCAGACTGAAGATGGAAACGGAGTGAAACCTGTCTGACGTCAGGCAGAACATTTTAAAATGTATCCTCCTTCATAACATCCTCTGCACTCATATTTTGGGATTCCAAATTGCTGTTGTAAACGTAGCTAGTTTGCAATACAAGTAAAGAGAACAAGGAGGTTCGGTATTTGAGTGGCATCTGGAGGATACGCAGAGGCGGTGGCAAGAAGTCCCAGCCCTGCCTCTATTAATGTCACTGTCATGTCAAATGATGTTCCTGGATGCAGGAAGAACAGATTACGCCCCTGAGGAATTTGTTGCTATAGTCATTTACCATCAACACTGACTGGACATCCACATCAAGTTTGGTCAAATTTTCCTTTAATGAACTCATCAAAGAACTGGGATGTCTCATCGGTGGAACTGCTAACAACTCACAGACAAGTAAACACTGCTTGGTAGGAGTACAGGAACGTGAACAAGACATTCTCAAGTGAAGCACAAGTGCCCCAAAATTCCACTTAAGCACAGCACATGAGTACATTTATGTAGGTACTTACTAACACTGCTGAATTTACAATTAAGGCTGCAACTAAAGTTCATTTTCATTATCTATTATTCTGTCCTTGATTAGTCATTCACTGAATCAGAAAATATCAAAGGAATAGTGAAAATGTCCTACAGCTCCAGGTTATGTCTACTATTGTGCTTGTTTTGTCTTACAAAATGTCCAGAACTTAAATATTTCCAGTTTACTGTCCCTCAAGACAAAGACAAGCAGAGAATCCTCACAAGTATGAAGTTAAGACTAGTTCAAGTTTGACATGTTTGAAGTACTAACTCCTCCTTTGAAGACAGCTGGATAACATCCTCTGTGGTTTTGTTTGGAGGGAGCGCTCTAAAGTCTGAGAAGATAACCCTGATGATGTCACAGTGATGCCACTGGAGTTATCTCAGTTTGGGCTTGAGACTTACGTTTTTAACAGAGAGCCTGCGATACACACTGGAGGTATGGAGTGGGCAGAAACAAAAGATGCATATAAGGGATTTTTCATATTAGGTGCGATTGATTTGTACCATGCCTTAGTACGATTGCCCCCCAATTCCAATGCCCGGCTGCTCAGCTTTCACATTAGTAATGTTGTCCCACACCCAAGTACACTTGCGTCATCACCTATGTGACATTATCGTTGTGCTACAGTGTAGAAAAGTGCGCTGCAGATGGACACTGCTGCCTCGGGGACCGTCATCAGCGGGGACTGGGGGAGCGGTGAGGCTACGCTCTGCTTTTGGGGCCACTGCTGTCAGGTGTGGAGCTCTCTGCCTCCCGCCAGAGCTCTGTTGCAAGCATTGTCGTCCAATATTGAGGCATCAGTATTAAATTGAGACTGTTTCATAACCAGATAAGAAGTCCTTGTAGTTGTGTTAAATAGCGGTCCATTTCCATGTTTTGGTTCAGTTGGTGTTCACACCTGATGCGTACCATACAGGAGCACACATGAACCCAATCAGAACCACCTTTTCAAATGGACTCAGGCATGGATCGGCGTGGGTATGGTACAAAGTGTTAACACTAAACAAACTGGACTTTGGGGTCAAATGTACTCGGAACCAAGCCTGGGTCCCTGATGTGAAAGCCCCCTTAGATGGGAAATTTAGGATCTGGTGTTTATAAAACTTGACTCTTGAGTTCAGGATATCTCTGCTGACTGTTCCTTTTAAAAATCTGTCTCATGGAAGTGCAACACTAAATTGGTGAAGTGTCTCTTTAATCTACAAATTAATTTACTTGGTTTCTCTAAGTGCTTACAACCAAAATACAACCAGGAAGAACTGAACCTTATACACCAAAAAATCAGTTTTCCAAGAGCCTAAAGATCTAAAGCCTACATCCCAGATGTGTAGGAGGGCGTACTGCAGGGATCTGCTGGTCACATTACACAGGACACACAGCACCTGTCGACCAGGTCATTATTAAACCAGCTGCAGCCAAAAGGCACTTGTTCCAAAAGTCATGTTTGAGGCATTTTGACCTCTAACTCTCTGGTTATGTTACAGCCACATGCTCATGTCTCTAGAGACTCTGCATCCTCCACAGCCAGCCAGCCTGCAGGGCTGGACTGACTCATTTTTTATAGCTGTGGTCACAGCAGAAATGTGTCACAGTTTTTGTAAGCACTTCTCCTGATGACCTCAGCTCTGCATCATCCAGCAGGTCCACTAGAGTCCTGCTTCAAGGTTGAAAAGGTCACAGAGAGGAACTGAACCCTGACTGCTGGTTGACCTCCGTCCTAACCCAAACCACATAATGAGAAGTGGAGTTTCTGACACGCAAATCAGGCAACAAACAGAAACTGATGAATAACTTAAAGGTTAAGAAAAGAAATGACTTTGCCGGGGTGGACTCCTCATGATTTTTTTCTGAGGGGTAACTACAGCTTTTCACACATTCATGAATGGCAACACCTCCTGATATTTTAGCAGCAGGAGTAATCATCTGACTTCCACATAAGTTTCTTATGATTCAGCACTAAAATCTGGCAAACATGAGCAAGCTTGGAGACACTTTTTGTGCTCCAGAGTAGAAGGCCTTGGCAAATCTCAGCACCTAGCCTGACAAAGGGTGTTTTCGGGTGTGGGGGTGCTATATTTTGTCATGAATTGGAAGGGGGTGGGTGGACCAACAGCTGATGTCCAGATGTAGAGATGCTTTCACACGGATAGAATCTAGACCAAGCATGTTTTGATTTAGCGAGTTAAAGTGCGCTTGGTAACTTTACTGCCTGAGGAAATGATCCCAACTCATGTAATTATTCGAGATTTTAGCTTCAGAGTGTAATCTGACCCGGGTGTTCTCCACTGGGATTAAATCCAAAACTTCAGCCTGCTGTGGAAAACAAAGTCAAAAGCACTTTTTTGAGGGAGTTTCTGTGAGAGAGTCGAACATATCTTTGTGTGAAATGGACACAGGCAGTGCACCCTCTCCATGTGGCCTGTCCTTCTCGCCCAGGGACACGGATGGATGGGGTGAAATAAGGCGATCGGAATGCGGAACCGGTGAGAAATGCAGCTGGTAAAGGAAGCGGCTTTGTAAGCAGACCCACTATCTGACTCCATTATAGGGAGAGCTGAACACCAGGCTCTAATCCATGTTCTCAGAAACAAGGATACCCAACAATGTGCGCGTAAATCACACGTAGAAACGAGAAGGAAAAGTTGTGTAGTCGCTTAAGTTGAATCAAAAATAAGTTTTCATTTTCCAAGATAAAAAAAACTTGTTGGAATAAAAACTTATTTTACTTACTTTTCTGTGCGCTCACGCCATAGAAATTGATCACAGCCGCTATAATAAGTCCGCACAGCGCGCAGAGAGCGTTTGAAGCCATGATGTCTGCGGGTAAAAAGCTGCTCGCTGTCGGCTACACAATTCCCGAAAGTTCATCTGATTAACAATCCGTGCTGGTTTTCAGCATGGAAAAGCGAGCATCAGAGTGAGTCACCCGGAGGAGTCTGCGCCTTGTTTTAATAGCGCACACACCCACGCTAACAGTTCAACTCCTATGAGTCATTTCCTATGTACTGTACTGCTCGGATTCTCTGTGCGCACTCCCCGACTCACAGGAAACTCCTCTACCATAGTATGTGGTTTCATTTGCTTCGCACCAAGTGAAAGTTTCAATTAAACCACCTCAGGTATGAGAGTTTCAATAGGCTTACATATAATTCATATTTTTATGGCCACACCCTGGAGGTTCTTCTCGACATTTTTTCACCAGAGCGCCTGTGTAGTCTGGACTTAATAGTGTTCTCATTGTTATTACCACGCCTGTCGACGTCATTGACTCCTCTCTGCCAAAAAACACAACTCTCTGGCATGAGCCTGGGTCCCATGCACAGAAAAAAGAGGAACAGCAACCGAGGCAAAAACAGATGACATTCACTAAAACTATCAGCCTTTTTTTTTTAAAGCCTCTGGGAGAGTCTGCTCGATAGTTAAAGGGAGATAAGCTTTATCTTTGTCCACACTCTGCAGATACAAAACAACTTTTGGAAACTGACATTTGAATAGTGAGTGTCCCTGACGACGCAGGGTGGTGTTATTAATGTCTGGGGCTGGGTGTAGTCTGCTGCTGCAGCACAAATATGCAATAACAAAGCCAGTGGACTCATGCCTGGAGTGCTATCAGGTTGGCCCCTGTCACAGAGTTGTCTAATATATTAATGCAGACCATCAGTTACTACAACATCTGTGCTGTGTGACATAAAATGATCACAGCACAACGTCAAAACTACGTATTTATTCATGACAGGTTATGCACATTCATATGGGTAAACAACTACTGCCAATGTATCACTACCAACGAAGCTATTCTTGTTTTTGCCAACATTATAGCTAATTCTTCTTCCTTAAGTGTTCCCAAATGCCTGATTAACTGTTTTTCACATATTCACTCTTTTCCTCTGCAGCCTGGAACTTTTTATGTGTGTGCTACATGGTGCGAACTGCCTTTCCCACAAGAACTAACGTCAAACAGACGCTAACCAACCTCGCAGTAAATAGTTCACATCATCCGAACAGAGGAAAAGAGGTTTCATTGGCTCAATTAGGTAAGAAGCATGTTGTTGAACAGATGTTTTTGTACTCGACTGTCAGGGCTAACCTTTAGGAAAGCGGTCTAAGAGGACCTGGAGCAGCACAGCCCACTAAGGACACCCATATGAGCTGACTTTCCACTGCAGTGATTTCATCAGTAATGAGGCACTATAAGCTGCAGATGTTGTGTCAAACTCTCCAGTAGGAACCATGGCAACAGGATGAACACACACAGAGGACCTTGCCCAAGGTGATCCAAACTCTCCTGTATGTGCTGCTGACTGGGTGCCAAACTAGCTGACGTCTCTCAGGCATTGTTAATACTATAGCCTAACCAAGGAAGTTACACAATTCTGGCTGTTGTACTTTATATATTAGAAACATATTTAGTTTTACACACGCAGTCCTCGAGTCTGTAAAGCATGGCTTCTTTTTAATTTTTTAAAATGTAAAATTTCAGCTTCACTGATTTTACGGGATTTCCAAAAAGCCAGCAGGACGAAACCACTCAAAGAAACGCTTCAGTAAGATCAACCACTGCAGTTCCAGGTTTTTCAATACATTAAAAAAAAAAAAGAAACATTTAAAAGTTGGGCCCAGTTTGTTAAAAGAAAGGATGTTTAACATGGCAAGAACAAGGACAGGAAAAAACAGTGCAGGAGCAGCTCAACATGTAAGAATATCACTGTGTGCACAAACAACTGTGTTTATTAACTACAGCACAACACTCAGTCAGATGTGTCACTATGTGTTTGGTCACCAAATAAATCATCAACTGGCAATGATGCAGTAAAACGAGTCTTTCCAAAGAGAGAATAAAAAGGGGGAACACACTCATCTGATATCCCCAAAATGTCTGCCTCTTTGAATAAATCTTCAGTTCTTTTGTCTTTTCTCTATGCGTTTCTCTCCTTTGGTTCTGTCTACTGTTTTCTCTTCTCACTCCTCTGTCTCTCCGTGAATTAGGTGATGTAGATGCGGTGAAAGTCGTTGGCTCCGAAGGCACAGTTGCACTTGGGGCACTTCCTCTGTCGGGTGTCGTAACGCATCTTCAGACATTCGTAGCAGAAGACGTGGAAACACTTGGTGAGCACCGTCTCCTTGTCTCGTGTGTTGCAGCACGGGCAGCGCAGCTTGGCCTGGGGACAGATAAATACATTACACAGGGGCCAAAAACTCACTTACCAGCAATGTTATTACCTTAATTCATTGTACAGTAACACACCTAACACTTGAGGGTGTAACAAGTATGCTTGATATCCCCAGACCGCAATATTTCTGTGGAGGTTTGAGCTCACTTTCTGGCTCATGCTCACAAGTGAAAAATAGCCAATCAAGCAAATTACAAAGGTGTAGTAATTAGCATTTCAGCATATTACTTTTACTGGACTGTTATAGTTCTGTAAACAACAGTCTACTGCAGACTGTGCCAGAAAGCTGTTGGTGTTTTTACAACTCCCTCGCCACTCACAGTGGTTGATTAAAGCCATACATTTCTCTGCGTAACAACGTTTTCTCTTTCTGACCTTGTACTGGTTGATCTCCTCCTGCAGGATCTCATCAGCATCCGAGTACACCTCCACCTTCTTCTGTTTCTCCAGCTTCCGTCTCAGCCTCGACAGATCCTCCTAGAAAAGGCATCAGGAGGGTAGTCATTTAACAAGGACTCCTCATCTGATCTGAGAGCTCTGGGAGAGTCTGGAGCGATATTCCCAGGCGCTGAAACACAACATACCTGTGCGCGTTTCAGGTTGCTGCTCTCCCTCTCCCGGGCGGTGCGGTTCTCAGCCACAGAGACCTGGATCTCCTTCAGCTTGGCCTGCGTGTGCTCCAGCTGCACCTTCAGGTCCTCTGCCAGCTGGGCAGCCTCCACCGCCTGCAGGAGGAAAGGAACCGGACACACTCAATAAAAAAAAAAAAACCTAATGATGAAATTCCTGGGCTGTAATGTGGTGGTAGTACAGTAAGCGTGGATAAATCGTCTGAGTCTGTTCTTTGTGCTTCAACTTTAAACATCCAGCCATGTACCAACCTAAACACGGCACTGCTGGTTTTGTGTGTTTCATCCTATTTACTGCAGACCGTGTATATTTTCCATGTCTGACGAGCGTTTTCCACAACATACCATAAGTGCTTAGATCCTCTTCATAGCTTCCAGGCTACCACTGGTTTCACTTAAAGTAAGCCGCTCCTTTTGTGTGTTTTCTGTTCTGTTTAATTTTACTGTTATGGTTGTCGCTACTTGTGAAAATCAAAAGTGAAAAAAGAAGGATTCACACAGACACACAAGATGACCTCATTAACAGGGCCCCTGTGCACAATCCTTGTCTTGACAGGTACTCAGGCAACATTAGAATATATTAGACATATATTTCACAAGTAGGCACTTAAAGGGATAGTTCAGATCTTTTGAAGTGTGGCCATATGAGGAACTTATCCCTAGTCAGTGTATTACCTACAGCAGAAAGTGTCCAGCACGCCCCCAGTTTGGAGAAGCAGGCAGTAGTACCACCATGGAAGCTAAGCAATGTATTGCTGTGGCCGAGGGCAGCAGCAAAACATATTTTAGCCACCTAAATCCTACCTAAAATAAGCCCCACCTCAAAAAGTGTACACTAGAGAATATTTTCATCACTTAATGTTACATCCACAGCAGTACATTGCTTAGCTTCCATTCAAGTCCTCCTGCCTGCTTCTCCAAACTGGGGGTGTGCCAACTGCCATTTACTCTATGTAGTACACTGACTATGGATAGGTACTTCATACAACCCCACTTCAAAAGATTCAAACTATTCCTTTAACTACATGCAGTAACTGCAGGCAGTGGGACAGACAGTGGCTTAATTTGCCAACAATGTTTTGTGGAAAGAATCCCACAAATCTTGGATTGTCAGAGCTTTTCATGAGCACACCAAAATAATGACGTGTACAAGTTTAACTTTTGGCACATGCTATTATCCAGATTCTCTCATAATGCAGTCTTTATGTTTAAGAACAAAAGACATCTGGCAGCAATCAACTCATTTGGTGATTAGTCAAACTTAAATGCAAGAGCTGACAATATGATTGATGGCATCTCTCCTCTCACCTTCCTCTTGTTGAGTTCTAGTGCTTGTGTCCGGACAGACAGCTCTTTTTCCAGAGCGGCGAGCGTGCTCTGAAGGACGCCCTCTTTTTCCTCGAGCTTCTGCACAACCAGCAGTTGGGCATCCACCTGGACAGTGACGACAGCAGTTAATACCTCAGTGTCCTGCAACAATTAAAAGCATCACTGCTGCATTGCCCGATTAGGAGGTAACACGTCACCTGGGTTTTGAATGTGAGAACTTGGTCAGCCAACTCCTCCTTCTCCTCTTTCAGCAGCTTGTAGATCTGGTTAGATTTGATCCGCTCACTCATCAGCTTGAAATTAGCGTCGTCCTTTTCCCGTAACTGCTGCAACAGGCGGCTGTTCTGCTCCTGCATGTCCTCGAAGGCCTGGCCTGTTACATCCATCTCACTCAGCAGGGCCTCCTCCTCCTCAAGAGACAGAGGTGTCGGGGATCAAAAACAATGCAGACACAGTGACAGACAGTGATATTAACTCTGGACTGTAAAATGGGATGGGGCCTAACTTCATTACCACCTGCAGTCATTCATTCAAAGGATGTGTGGGGTTTTAATTCAAAGCAGTGTTCACTACTTTTGGCTGTAACTAGACATGTAACTCATTATTTCTGGAAACAAATAACACATTTACTGAAATTTAAATGGGCTCGTTACTTGTTCTTTTTGCTTGATCATAGCCCACAAGTGCAGCTGTTATGAATCTAATGTCACCCGTAGTGAGTGGCCCTCAGCCCCTCTGTCTTGTGTTTGTGTGCAAGAAAGTGACAGAGAGAGGGTTTAGAGATGGTGGAAGGTGGACTGTTGCAAACAATGTTTCTGTTAGCTGGTAATACAGTAACATTATTATTCCGACGGTCACCCAGCTTTACAGCCGCGTTGTAA